GGAGATGTTGAATCCTTGAAAGAGCCCCGAGCCTTGGCCGCCTGCGATGGTTTCCCCGAGCCCCCGCCGTTTCGGGTCCCGAGGCCGCCTGGCTTAGGTTTGGCTGAAGCGGTGGTTTGGCCCGCGATGGCCTGTCGCCTGCCGGAGCTGTTGTTGGCGAGGTTTGTGTTGATGGAAGCGTGGCCGCAGACGGCCACCAGTCGCTTCATGTCCCTGGCTGGGCATCCTTAGGGCGTGATCTTCATACGTCTGTGGCCCAGGAGACAGAGCCCTCCCGCCAACCTCGCCTGCTGCCGGAATCGTGGCGTACCGAGCCACCAGCCAATCTAGAGGAGTGATTCGGATCCGTTCTGATTTCCAGGGCGTGGTAGCCTGCCACAAGTCGAATAAGTCAGCCACTGGGAAGAATTTGCTTGATGTCCTAGGTTCGATTGCCAAACTAGGTGAAGCCCGCCGAGATGGAGGGTCTGAGGTTGTGAAGGTCAAAGCTCGCTAGGAATTAGAGTCTCTTGAGCGTTTCTCCGAGCAGTTGAGACACTCCCATGGCAGCGACGCAGCAGGCATACTTGATTTATTTCTCGGCGGGTATCACCGAGGAACATCCTGGATCATCTGGCAAAACAAGCACACACGAAGCCGAACAATGCACACGGAGTGTATGTCCGAGCGATGGCAGGATCATGACATCATTCTCGCCCCGTGAAGAGCTCCAGGCCTGCGCGGGGAAGAGGTCAAAAAGCCCTGGGCACCCTCGGGGGCCCGCCGTCGTGGAAAACTATCACGACCTCGGGAGGTCCTCTGCACCAGGAGCTCAAGCGTCTCAAGAAAAGCTGCGCCAGAGCTTACGTACAGTCGGACCGAGGTATAAGATCGAGGTCGGTTCCGGGAGAGTGCCCTCGTGTTTTTCGTGTTTGTTGGATGTTCTTGTGCATCCTGGGGAGGGTACCTTTCGCTGTTCTTCGTGTTTTGGCCAGCGGAGGATGTCATGTTCTTCAAGGATGTTCTTCTGTCCTAGGTCCGACTGTACTCGCTCTTTTGTGGCGTCTTGCGGGTAAGCGTTAGACGCGAGTTCGCCCGAACTCGAGCTTGCCGACGCTTCTTGACGAGCCCGTCCTGGATTCTGGCGGTCCAGCTTTCGTGGGATGCCTGCAGCGGGGCTCGCGTCAAGCTGCAAACCGGGTCTCGTCATTTTCCTGGCGGCCCCGTCAGGTCAACCCGAGTATGGTTTCGTTCAGAGGCGACGACAGGGGCGAATATCCCAGGGGAAAACAATCCACGTATTCAGGTGCGCCGATGATCTATGTCTTCGAAAAGGCTTCCGGGCGAATGCGTGTAATGCCCGCCCCTGGGCTATTCGCCCCTATCGTCGCCGTCGAATTTTTTCGCCTTCCCGAGTCTGGGCCCCGTACCTGGGCCCTGGGGCGATCAAGCAACAAAAACAACCTGTAGGGAGGGAGCGCCAGGGCCCCAGGGCCTCGCGTCACGTTTTACGCCAGCGTAATCCAGGAATGTCCAGGAATGACCAACGACAACTCGGAGGCCAGCACGAATCGTGCTCGGAGGTCGGCAAGAATCGTGACGTTACCTGGGGGCGGGGGCCGTAGGGGCGGGTAACGGCCGCTGTCGCGAATAATCAAAAAACGCTCTCCTCAGAAGACCATTTGTAGGCGGTGTGCATCTCAAGCGCCAGCGGTAACGATGCTCAAGCACGAGGGCGAAGGGCTCGTCACTTAAGGGCCACGAAAACGCGAGACTCGAGTTTCGCGACGCTCGGGCCTGCCGCCGTCTTTTGACGGCCCCAGCGTCAATTTTCGTGAGATGTCTGCAGCGTGAGCTCGCGTGAGCTCTCAGACTCGGCCCCGCCATTTCTCTGATGGTTCCGTCAAGCGACCTAGAGCCAGGAGGAAAATCTTGGAGGCCTCGCGCGGCGCGGCACAGTTGTACTCTCTGGTTCCCACGCCCGCCCCGCCAGACATGGGACGACGTTCGCGCGGCGAATTTCGACGTGAGTTCCACGCAACTTCGGCCTGAACCCGACGCAAATCCGACGTGAATCCGACGTAGATCTGACGTACACAGGGTCTCAAGTTGCCGCGCGCGGCCTCCAGGTGTTCCTTCATAACTCGAGCCCCGAGCGCTCGACTCTGGCGCCTCCCCGACAGGAGGGGCTCGTCACGGAGGGAGCCGGCCTGGCCGCGCTCGCGCGGGGAGGGCCGGGGACAACTCGCCGCCTGCTCGCACATACCGTCGCAGGATCGGCGTTCTGGCCACGCCAGGCAAAAGTACACACTGGTCCTGGGCCCAGGAACGGCGTGCTCGCCATGCCAGGAGGGCGTACGCACCGGTCCTGGGCCCAGGATCAGCGTCCTCGCCACGCCAGGAGGGCGTACGCACCAGTCCTGGCGCCAGGATGGGCCCGACCAGGACCTGTGCAGGTGCGGCCGAAGAAAATGGGGTCCACTGCGCGGACATGCGCTCGTAAGTTTCCCGCGAAAGGTCGCGCGTGAGGGCTCTCTGCGCTGGCGGCCCGCTTAAGCCTCGGCGTAAGGTCGCTATGCCTTCTCGCTCAGGACCCTCCGCTGGCGCTCAGCTCCGAGGCACTGTTCTCGAAGAGGAAGCGGGAGAGGAGGCGGAGGAGAAGGCGAGGAGGAGGATGAGGAGGAGGAGGCGGAGGAGGAAGAGGCGGAGGAGGAGGAGGCGCAGGAGGAGGAGGAGGAGGAGGAGGAGGAGGCACAGGGAAAGAATGTGGAGGAGCAGGAGGAGGAGGAGGAGGAAGGAGGAGGAGGAGGAGGAGGCGGGGGAGGAGGAGGGGAGGAGGAGAGGAGCAGGAGGAGGAGGAGGAGGAGACGAAGGATGAGGAGGAGGAGGCGGAGTAGGCGAAGGAGGAGAAGGAGGCGGAGGAGAACGAGGCGAAGCAAGGAGGAGGAGGAGGAGGAGGAGGAGGAGAGAGGAGGAGGAGGAGAGGAGGGAGGAGGAGGAGGAGGGGGGAAATGGAGGAGGAGGAGAAGGAGGAGGAGGAGGAGGCGGATGATGATGAGGGGGAGGGGTGCGATGACGAGGATGAGGATAAGGAGGATGAGGATGAGGAGGAGGAACGGGATCAGGATCAGGATCAGGATGATGGGGAGAAGGAGGAGGATGAGGATGAGGATGAGGATAATGATGAGGCTGAGGCTTAGAATGATGATGATGATGATTAGGATGAGGAGGATGAGGAGGAAGACGATCATGATGATGATGCTGCTGCTGATGATGATGCTGTTGAAGATGATGCTGATGATCATGATGATGATGGTTCTGATGCTGATGACGACGATGCTGCTAATGTTGATGATGAATATGCTGCTGCTGCTGATATTGCCGATGATGATGATGGTGATGATTCTGCATATTATGATGATCATGATGATCAAGATTATGCTCATGCTGATGCGGATGATGATGCTGATGATACAGATGATGCTGATGATGCAATTGATGCTGATGCTGCTGCTGATGATGCTGCTGATGCTGCTGCTGATGATAAACGTGATGCTGATGATGGTGTTGCCGCTGATGATGATGATGATGATGATGATGATGACGATGATGATGCTGATGATGATGCTGATGATGCTGATGATGATGCTGATGCTGATGCTGATGCTGATGCTGCTGATGATGATGCTGCTGTTGCTGCTTATGCTGCTGATGATGCTGCTCCTGATGATGATGGTGACGCTGCTGATGCTGATCATGACGATGATGATCATGATGCTGCTGCTGATGATGATGCTGACGATGCAGATGAGGATGCTGATGATGATGCTGCTGCTGATGATGATGCTAATGATCATGATGCTGACGATGCTGCTGATGATGTTGATGCTGCTGCTGCTGATGATGATGATGATGATGATGATTCTGACGATCATGATGATTACGATGCTGATGAGGATGATCATGCTGATGCTGATGCTGATGCTGATGATGATGCTGGTGCTGCTGCTGATGATGGTGGCGTTGATGATGATCATGATGATGACGATTATGATGCTGATGATGATGATGATGATGATGCTTGTGATGCTGGTGATGATGACGATTATGATGATGATGCTGATGATGATGATGATGATGATGATGATGCTGATGATGATGATGATGATGATGATGATGATGCTGCTGCTGATGATGATGATGATGACGACGATGATGATGATGTTGATGATGATGATGATGATGATGATGATGATGATGATGATGGTGATGGCGATGGTAATGGTGATGATGGTGACGCTGATGCTGATCATGATGACGGTGGTGGTGGTGGTGATGGTGATGATGATGATGAGGAGGAGGAGGAGTTGCAGGGAACTAATGTGGATGATGAGGAGAATGAGGAGGTGGATGATGATGCTGCTGATGATGATGCTGATGCTGATGCTGATGCTGCTGCTGCTGATGATGATGATGATGATGCTGCTGCTGATGCTGGTGATGGTGATGATGATGATGATGCTGATGATGATGATGATGATGATGATGATGATGATGATGATGATGATGATGCTGATGCTGATTCTGATGCTGGTGCTGCTGCCGATAATGATACTGACGATGACGACGACGACGATGATGATGCTTATGATGATGATGATGCTGATGATGATGATGATGATGATGATGATGATGATGATGATGATGATGATGATGATGATGATGATGATGATGATGATGATGATGATGCTGAGGAGGAGGAGAGGGAGGAGGAGGAGGAGGAGGAGGAGGAGAAGGAGGAGGAGGAGGAGGAGGAGGAGGAGGAGCAGAAACAGGAGGAGGAGGAGGAGCAGAAGCAGGAGGAGGAGGAGGAGGAGGAGGAGGAGGATGCGATGAAGGAGGAGGAGGGGCAGAAGGAGGAGGAGGAGGAGGAGGAGAAGGAGGAGGAGGAGGTGGAGAAGAAGGAGGAGGAGGAGCCGTAGGAAGACCGCCTCTCCGTGGGCGCCCGCGCCCACCCCCAGGCCCGCGCCGTGCCCCGCGAGCCGCCGAGGCTTCCTGGGCGTGTCCGCCGCGCGTCTGCAGGCTTGCGGCTGCGGGCGGCTAGTGCCGCCGGCCGCCAGCCGCCGCCGCCGCCGCTGCGTCCGCAGCCGTCGTCGTCGTCGTCGTCGTCGTCGTCGTCGTCGTCGTCGTCGTCGTCGTCGTCGTGGTCGTGGTCGTGGTTTTGGTCGTTGTCGTCGTCGTCGTCGTCGTCGTTATTGTCGTCGTCAACGTCGTCGTCGTCGTCGCCGTTATTGTTGTCGTCGCCGTCGCCGCCGCCGTCTCCGTCGCCCGTGTCGTCTTCGTTGTGGTCGTCGCCGTCATCGTCGTCCTCCTCTGTCCTTCTCATTCCTCGTCCACCCTGTCCTTTCTCTGAGTTTTCTCCACACCCTTCTCACTTACTCCTCCGCCTCCTCGGCCTACTCCGTCTCCGCTTCCACTTCTCGTGGAGATGGCGGCCTGCTCTTGCAGCTGTGGAGCGCCTGCGTGCCAGGGCGCTCGGCGAGCCTGGAATGTGACAGTTCGTTCGGAAGAGCATAGTGGGCGATCTTCGCTCCCCCCACCTCCTCCTCCTCCTCCTCCTCCTCCTCCTTGTTCTCCTCCTCCTCCTCACCTCCTTCCCCTCCCGCTCGCTCCTCCTGGCCACGGGGGATGGACCCTCGGCATTCCGACCCGCCCCTGGCCGCTTGGTGGCCCCCTCGTCGCCGCAGCCGGGCTCCTCTCGCCTCCCGTGGCCGCCATCTCGGCTCAAGCGCCGGTCCAGACCGGGTGAAGATGAGCCATCTCCGGACGGAAAGCAGACCACGTGGAGGATGGTTTTTGGACCCCGCGCGCTTCGCGAGGAGAAGGGGGGAGCGGTGTCGGCTCCACGCAGCATCATGGCAGAAGCCCTACCAGACAACAGACACGGATCCTGACACGGTGGCGGATGGCTGGCTCGGCAGCCTGGCCCCCTCCGCGCGTGCCCTGCGGAGAGAGGCGGGCGCGCGCCACGCGTGCAGCGCCGTCGCCGCGGTGCCCCGATGCCGCTCCGAGCCCCGCTCGCGGCCGCTGGCCCTTTGCCACGCCCCTGGGGGGTGAGGGGCAACGTGAGGGGAGGGGAACTCATCGTCTGCACGTGAGAGTGACCCTTCGCTGGAGTGACCTTTGGTGCGGGCCCCCCGGGGTCCCCCTATCGCTGGACGCTCTGCGATAGCATCGGCTTCTGCGCTTGTGCGCGCCGCTAAATTCGCTGCCCTCGCCTCGCCCCCACGGCTACATTCGCATCGAAATCCTGGCCAGGACGCGCCCCTGGAGAGGCCTGGGGAGTAGCCGTGTCGGTATCCCCTTGTTCGTTCAGAGGCATGGAGGACGGGGACAATGGAGGCTCGAGGAGGGACCTCGGAGGAGCAAGCGAGAAGGAGGGCGTGGCACGACGGAGGAGCTCCGATCTTCCTGCCGTGCCCCTCGCGCAGGCAAAGGGCGACGTGATCGGGATCGACCTAGGCACCACGAACTCCTGCGTGGCGGTTATGGAGGGCAGCACCCCCAAGGCGCCCGCCGTGACATCTCCTGCCTTGGATCTCCCGCGCCCGCTCCTCCTGCTCCCTGCTGTCCTCTATCCCCCCTCCCCTCCCCTCCCCTCCCCTCCCCTCCCCTCCCTCCTCCCCTCCCCTCCCCTCCCTCCTCCCTGCCCTCCCTCCCCTCCCTCCCCTCCCTCCCCCAAAAAGGCCCTGGGGCACCCGAGTGGGTCCCCACTCCCGTCGCACGGGGGGACCTCCGGGCTTTGGGGTTGTGGTCCAAGATCCCTCGCCAGCCACCGCCTGGACGCAGCCTCTATTTGAGGACTGGCTGCGTGGAACTCTGGGCCCCGTAGACCTTTCTAATTCTTGACGCTTCGCGTATCCCCACCAGGCACCCGGTTGCCTCCCTCAGCTGGCACACGCTCAGCGGCTTTTGGGGTCCGAGTGCTGGCCGCAGGGCTACGGCTGTCTCCATCGCGGTTGCCCTCTTCTGCTGACACACGCTCAGCGGCTGGGCTCGCGTTCGGTTCGCTCCCACCCGCGAGCTGAACCGTGGCCGCCTCTTTCTAATTATCTGCAGGTACACTCTGCGCGGTGTCGCGCCAATTATCTGTCGCTGTGCCCCAGCCTCGGTCATACTGCCCTCTGGACTTCTCCTTGCGGGCCGCGAATCGAAAACATATCCCCGCCAGCCCATCCAGTAACGATGCCCAGGCGAATGGAGGTGATCAGGGAAGTGAGGGAGCATACAGAGTAACAAAGGGCTGGGGAACCCGTCTTACCCAAGACGGCGAGGATGGAGGAGGAATCGGAGGAGGATGAGGAGGAGGAGGAGGAGGAGGAGGAGGAGGAGGAGGAGGAACTGAAGGAGGAGGAGGGGGAGCGGGAGGAGGGAGGAGGGAGGAGGAGCGGGAGGAGGGAGGAGGAGGAGGAGCAATAGGCGGAGGAGGAGGAGGAGGAGGAGGAGAGGAGGAGGAGGAGG